GATCATTTCAGTCAGGCAGCATATCCTATGTACTATTAAAGGTATTAAATATACAAATCTCTTTCCTGTGGATGATCAATAACTGTCTCCATGGATGTGGCCTCTATTTCTCTGAGAGAAATTCTGGGAGACAGGTTGAGTGCAAGCATAATTAACCACATGCTATCATATCCCTGCTCTATCTGCTCTTCTGACTACTAAATAGAAACCATTGGATCTGGGCCCGAACAAGCCTCCTAAAGTTGCCAGCAAATTTTAATATACTTGTTATTGAAAATACATGGAAGTAATATAAACTGCGTAACACTTAAACATAATCTGATTAAATCCAAATTGATTTTTGTCCTGGCCACATTTTTTTAATCCTTAGCCCATATTTGAGGTAGTGTCTCAAGTAGTAAAAGGCATCTGATCTCTGTCCTCATAGCCCCTACCAATTGTGCACACATAGTTTTGAGATTTCATATATTCCTTTCTTCCCTAGAACACTTATATGGGCTTTCTGGACTATCGAAAGCAAACAATCCAAGATCTGGGTATAAGTCCCAGCACCTGCACATTTAATCCTGGTGTGATTGTAGCCAATATGACAGAGTGGAAGCACCAACGCATCACAAAGCAGTTAGAAAAATGGATGCAGAAAAATGTAGCGTATGTATCAAGAGTCCTCTAATAGCAGGAACTGATTGCGCATTTGGTAATATACAGCTGATGATTGTAAAAATGCATGCCATATTTATTTTGTCCTGCTCTATGAACAATCTGACTCTCACCACAAAGACTAATGTTATTATCAATACTGTCTGGAATGTCTTTAATTTGCACTAGCTCAAAAGTCATTCTTACTACAGCATTATATTTGTGTTTGAACTAAGTACACAATCAATATTGCACATTTTTGAAGGGCGTAATTGTATTTAGTTTAGCAAACCAATAGTTTGATAAGTTTCTGATGATGCTCAGATTAAAAACAAAAAAGTTAGTTTTAAGTTAATGAAGTTGAGCATACCTAAACTGAAAGTGTGAGGGTGCATGATTAGCCCAGTCACCTACTGTACTGAGCTTCAAATCGTGTTCTACTTCTCTACTGTTCTAGTTGAATTGTATTTTGCTTTATTGACTGCATCTCCACTTAGTAAAATAGCTGTTTTAAAAATAAATCTTCCACCCATTTGACATTCTAAAAAACTTTTTCAGAGAAAATCTCTATAGCAGCACCCTTGCAGGAGGTGTGGCCACTTCTCCAATGCTCATTGTTTTCCATGGAAGATATACAACTATTAATCCTTTGTGGCATATTCGACATTTAGGTAAAATTTGCTTCTGATAAAGCATGTTTTTATCTTGTATTCTTTGATTATACTAAGCTATTTTTTTAAAAAAAGTTTGCATTGTGGTATAGTTTAGTTTAAGAATTAAAATGCAAGATATCTTCAACTGAATGTTTATGAACATGTATATTCTGTTTGTTGCTGCACTTTACACATATAATATTCAGCACAGTATTCTCCTCTGCAACTAGTAAATTGTGCCACTTTTATAAAAGTACAGAATATTATGTACTTTAGTATTGACACATTAGTTGTTACAACAGTGGAATAATGTTATTAGATCTGTTGAATATAGGTAGTCCTTGAGATATGACAGATCACTTAATGAACATTTAAAGTTACAACAGATGTCCCCAAATTGCTTATGTCCTGTTTAAAAATTACAATGGTCATTCAACTTTACGACTGACCACAGGGATGCTGCAGCACGCCCCCCCCCCCCGCCTCTCTCCTATCCCATCTTGCTCCTCACATGTCCATCACCCACCGTACTTACCTTTTGAAGCTCTCCGGACCTCATGTTGGGGAAGGAGGGCAAGCCTTGTGTTCCTGGGCCATGTGGTGGCAACCTGAATATGGCCATTTTGTCCTGCCTGCTTGTGGGTGGGGACAAAATGGTGGCTGTCAGACAAACCACTTTGTTTTGCTGCCTTAACGAGGTCTCCAGTGTTGCAGAAGCTTCTGAAGGCTGTAGAATGCTTCTGCAGGGCTAATGAGACCTCATTAAGGCAGCAAAGCAGTTTGTCCCTGTGTCATGTGGTAGTCACACAGAAGTGGGTAGCATGTTTTGGGTGGAATATAATGGCAGTTGCTTCTGGGCCACCGCCTTGCAGCCCGGGAACAAAGTGGTCCATTTTGCTACCTGAATGAAGTCTGCACAGCACTGCAGAAGCTTCTGAAAGCTGTAGAAAGCTCCTGCAGCACTGTGCAAACCACATTAAGGCAGCAAAATAGATTGCTTTATCACAGGGCTACATGGCACTATTCCAGAGGCGGCATCAATACCAAAATGCAATTCAGCCAGTGGAAATACGCCATGGAATAATGTCATGTGGCTGCATAATGAAGCAATCCATTACAGCCCTCTGGAAAGCCTAAGGGGACCTGGTAGGAGTGGGAAAAGGCCTATGGGATGGGGGAAGCAGAGCACAGGACTTCTTGGAGGGTGGGGGAGTCCTTGGGAGGGCCAGGGCAGGTGGGCCTGTGCCTGTGCTAGGCCTCCAAGGGCTTTCCCCACCTCTGAGGCACTCCATGCTCCACTTACCTCATGCACATTTGTTTAATGATTCATTGGGGAGAGATGGAATGGGTCATTAGTTGAGCTACTTAATTTAATGACCTTTACAATATACAATTGTTATTCCACAACAGTTGTTGGCTCTGGCTCTGCAGGCTCCATGAGTCATATCTCTATGGCTGTAAGCTTCTGAGATGTGTTTGGCTGGAATTGTAAAAATCCTAGCATCATTTGAAAAGGACAGGTGGATTTTATGTTTGTATGTATGCATGTATGCATTTATGTATTTAACAGATTTATATGGCTGCCCAGCTCACACATTGTGTGAATACAGGTGGATTCCCTCCACGTACTGTATTTACTCCTATGTCTACAGATCCCAAAGTACACTGAATTCAACATAACTTAGATCAGGGTAAACAAGTCTAGTTTGGCACTGAACACATTTAAATTTAACTAAATGCCATCCACATGCAATTTATTGTTAAGCAAGAGAAAATTTTGCTAAAAATTAATGTTATTTTTCTTCCTCCCCCCCCCCCCATAGGATGGAGTCCTGATGCTAGATACTCAGAGCATTTTCTTCAGGAGGCCAAGTTACTTCACTGGAATGGGAGATATAAGCCTTGGGGCTACCCTAGTGGACACTTTGACTTTTGGGAAAAATGGTTTATTCCTGACCCTTCAGGAACTTTTAAACTGATTCGTCCTAAGACCTAATTATGCCATTTATCTTTAAGACATCAGAAACAGTTTTCAGCATGATCATGGTTATATATATATTTGAGATGGTATTTAGTGAACATGGCTCTACTGTATAACTGAATCTTATGATGTATAAGCATCAAAATGAAATTTTACCACAAGGACAATGAGGCCACAAAGTATGCACACTATCACTCTTTCTAGCAGGAGCTGAAACTGAAACATTGTTAAGGAAAACAATCTTTAATAACACCAAGGTCTCTATTTAAATAATTCTGTAAATAAGGACTTACCAAAATACTTTTTGTAATACTGTTTGAATAAATTTGTTTTTGTCTTAAGTGCATCTTCTATATATAAAATTAAGCCAAATAAAATTAAGCATCCATTATTTTATTTCAAATAATTTAAAACTGCTTTGTTGTAACAATACCAATACAATTGACTTTTAAACAATATTACAATAAAGCACCAGAAAATATTATAACAATTTGTTTTTTTTGCAAAAAAAAATGGCAGATCAGACATACTAAATACATTTTAAAGCACCATATTATAGAACGGATGTGCATTCATATCTCATTAATCTGGATGTTTCTTTCAAAACAAGTCCTCTCCTTTTCACATCATAATAGTGAGCTATGCATGATCTGCAGCAAGATAATTCTCTGCTTAAAAAAGTGTTCCAGATCCCTGATGCAAAGGCATTTCAAGCACTTGCAAAAAAGTATCCATGTAAACAGTGACACATAAGTGTGCAATCTTAAGCACACTTACTAGGAAGTAAACCTTGTTGAATATTGTGGAGCTCAATTTGAATAAACATGCATAAGACTGTGCTACAAATGAATTTACTAGACTATTGACATGGAATTTCCACAGAGACTAACCAACATGATCAGAACTAGATACACATCATAATATTAAAAAGAATAGGCTTGGAGGATTAATGAACATTATTTTGTGGCAGGTCATAAATATGCTCATCTTTTAATGAGCAAAAAATCAAAACACTCTGGAAAGGTTCCAAAGTGACTATGGTTTGATTTTAAATTGATCCATACAACCCTACTTCCTAATGCCAATATAATAAAACATTTTAAACATTTCCAGCTATTTTTGAAGTAGTTAGATAATCTAAATTATATACACATTGAAATAGAGTTCTGGTACATAATTCAAGTATCTAAAGCACTTAATCAATAGATTTTGAAAAACTCTGTTTACTTTTTTATTGCTTTTATCTCCACCCCTCAAGGAGAAAGCAGGCTGGAGGAGAAAAGAAGGCATAGATACCGGTAGCACAAACATTCTCAGTAGGAACTATGTTTTTAGAAAGACAATGGTCACAATCTGTTGCATTGCAAATTTAGCACAGCATGCAGAATATTCTAACAGAGTGCATATCCATCACAAGCGAACAGTGAAGTGTCACAGAAAAAATAGTGCAACTCCTGTTCTCACATCTATCTTTCCTTCTCCAAGCCTAACTTAGAAAGATACATACAAAAGTAGTTATATCGACTGCATAGAAAAGCATTGTTTTACTCAAAGTGAACCATTTGTTGATACCAGCAATGCCAACTGAATTTGTTGCAACATGTGCCTACAGAGAGCACCATATCCAGTAGTAACTCACAGCTAAAATAATTTGGGAATAAATTAAAAGCAGAGTGGTAGGAGGAGAGAAAAAAGAAACTGCAACTGAAATAATGGTAAACAAATAAAACATATAGAATTAGGTCCCTGAAAAATATTTTTCAATTTAAGGGTAAATGTGGCTCAACCCCCACACTTTTCAAAAGGCAGTTTTCACATTCAACCACCAGTGACAAAACCCAGGGGGAATTAGGAATCTAGTCCTTTTGGGGGAAAGAGAGGTAAACTAACTTAGAGTTCTGCCTGAGTTACTTCTGTTAATGGGTTTCTACTACTTTGTTAAAATGTTACTGTTTGGTAACAGTGTTAAATTTCCGCCCTTTAATTCATATATATGAGCATACATAGGGTATATCCCAATACCCAGGAAGGGATATCTTAAAAATGTAACTTCACAGAGTATCTTACAAAATATGGATTTAAAACAAGACATTGGACATCACAAATGAGAAATCACTTGGCTAAAACTGCAAAAATGGAATAATTTTAGCTATAAAACTTGATACAAAAAAAAAGGATGGGGAGAGATTTTTTTTTCTCTAACAAAGGATATTTCTTTAAATTAATCTAATTCATCTACCAAAATGACTCATCCTAAGAAAAACTAAGAGGCACAATGCTATTAAAATGCTTCAGTTGGGGAACTGAGGTACCGTTCTTGATCATGACTATAGAATATAGAGTTGATTCTAAGTACTGACTCTTCCTTCTTCTTGTGCTCTTGAGAGGCTAAATTCAGGAATCTGATCTGTGAAAGTTTGTGTCATCCACTGTCCATTAGGTACATCGCCAACAGAAGAACCACTGCTGTACTCCAAGTTGGTTGCTGCATAAAAAGAAACCTACATCAATTGCTGCTATTAAAACTAAGAGAGGAAAAAGGAGCACCAAAATACATGCAACTACATGCAAAATACATGATGAATATAGAAGCACATATTTTATAACGTTTATGCTGTTCATGTGTTTATAGTGAATTCAAAATGCATTTTTATGTTTAGGAATATTTTTTAAAAATTAAACAAATCTTCTGGTTTTCTGGGACAAAATTTCAGGCCTCAAAGACTGTGCTGGAATTCCTTTTCTGAGATTGGAAAGCAAGCTCCAATTTCAGAAGAGAAAATCCAAGATTCCTGCTTCTTTGAGGATATTTTTGCAATCTTTCTCATTCCCACATTGTAGAGAAGAAACAGGACTAGAAGTGATGTTGGCTTCAAAAGCCAAATCTCTTGTACTTGCTTTCTATATTTTCAACACAAGAGAACTTTGAATTGCCCTTTGTACTAAATTAATACCCTCCCATTGCATACAATGCAAAAGATGAATATTGGTTAAACTGACAAATGGAATTATTTTTGCTTTTTTTTATTCCATCCGTTCAATGTACTGGCAGAAAGATTATGAGGTAATTGGGGGTCATGAAGATCAAAGTATTCAAATTATTGCAGCTGGCCAGCTTGCCCCAAAAACAATTTTATTGCCTTCTCAGGGGAAAAAAATTAAAATAAAGATGTAATTTGAATTTTTCCATGCTGTACCTGTTCCATTTGTGGGGAAGATACACTGTTCATTCTCAGAGGTTGTTCTCTCACCATAAGCTCCTCCATAGGCTGCTTCATAACCTGGATCATATTTTTCTTCCTTAACAGCCATCTTCTTAGCTTCCTCTGCATAAACAAGACTCACAATGTTGAAATTGTTCTTTTTGAACTCTTAAACATAGAACCATTTGTCAAAATTATCCTATTTCAGAATAAAACCAAATTATAGCTTGAAAGCTTGTAAATATCTTGTTCTATTGATAAGAATTGCCTTGCAGAAGAACTCACAATGGAGTTTGCATTATTGTGTAATTATTAAATCTGAAATGTGTAAGAACTGTAAACCATTAGTTCATAGCATGAAATAACTGTCTATGCCTACTTTGATTTACTTTTGAAGATTTGACATATTAATAATCCATTACTACTACTTTGATTTCAAATGGAATACCTTGTGCAAGCTGCAAATCAAATGTATACTGCACTTCCTGGACTTCAGCAGCTGATGAAACCCCCTTCAATTGATCCCTTAAGTCTTTTAGCTTTATGTAATAATGAACTTTGTCCTGTGCACGAGGAAACTGAGCACATCTTGCACTGGATGATGGCATCACATAGCAAAGCTGTACAAAAAAAGCAACTAATTATGTCATCAAACTGGTAATTATTTCCAAATACTAAAATTGTTACAAAGTGATTTGATCTTTATCGCATTTGCTGAAAGCTTAAACCAGGGGTGTCAAACTCGCCACATCACATGACGTGACTTTTTTTTCCATTGCCGGCAATGGGGTGGGCACGGTTTCGCCATGACGCATCCGGTCCGCAGGCCAGCAGTTTGACACCCCTGGCTTAAACTCTAAAGAAAACAGCAATAATTTTAAATGACAATTCGTATCCTAAACATCAAGATGTTTGCTTTACATATTGAAATAAATATTATTTTATTGAAATAATATATTGAATAATATATTGAAATAATATACTGAAATATTATTTTAATAAAAAAGTCCTTGCATAAATGTAAAAAAATTATATTCCTAAGCAAGACAAGAACTTACTGTTTCTGTATCTGGAACTTTATGTGGCTGTAGTCCAAATTCTAATTTTTTAACTTTCACTCCAAAAACTTCTTTACTAAAAATGTCATAAATACCTACAGTAAAAATTGGAAATACATCCATCAGTTATAATGCAAGCTTAACCACAACAAAATGCCTAGGTCTCATTTTTTAAAAACTTACATTTTCCATTAAAAACAGCTATTTTAGGTTGATACTTCTGCAATTTCTGCACTAGAATATGTCCTCCTTCCCGAAATTCTTTGCTGAAAAGAGGACAAAATAGCACAAATAAAAAATAAGACTATAATTTTCAGAAAAATACTGTATGATAACTTGAAATGAACTCTACCTGGAAAGGTCTTTGCTACCTGGTGTTGTCCTTTCCACCATATTTGTAAATCCAATACCATATTTATGTGGCAAAGTATGATCATCCATATGATTCAATTGTTCTAGGCTTAGCCCAGACATAAAAAGACATTTCCCTATGGAGTCAAAAATGTATTTGTCATATTTTCTGGAAAGTACATACCAAAACTCTATTAATTTATTTTTAAATTATATTTATTCAATTATATTTATTTTTACTTTCAAAAGTAGCAAAGCAACTATAATCATATGCAAAATGAAGCTAGTCAAGATAATATAGCATAATCTTTATTATTATTTAAAGAAAATAATGAAGTCTCTCTTGAATCAAGCTCAACTGATGGTGTCTACATAGTTATATCTAAGCAGGTTTGTTATCAACCTGATGGTAGGTTTTTGCGCTCTTCAAGATTTCTTTTCATTTCTTGGTCCAGTCTACTGGTTCCCAGTCCAGGCATCAATAAATTGACCTTTGTTTTTGTATGTCCTAACAGGCAATTTGTCACATAATTTGCTTTGAATTTATGCAAAAGAAATGTATGAACTACTTTCATTGATATATGAACATATTGACTAAACTGTTCTAGCAAGAATAAAATCTTGATTAGAGTCATAACCTAGGACCTATTACTTTCTGTTACTACAACCAGAAAATTCTAGATTATAACCAAATTTCCAGAGTTCATGAAAAAGGATACTCACAGAAATGATTTCCAGGTCCTGGATAATGATGACCTTTGTAGGCTGCCATTAAACCTGGATTTATACCAATCTAGGGAAGAATACATAAATGAAATCTTAATGTTGTTCATGAAAAAGATGTATTAGATGTAATGAAAAGAACAAAAACA